TCAATTGACGTTTCCCTCAGATTTACCCTATCACTGCGGCTGAAATCGAAGTCAGCCCATGGGCGTACGGTGATAATCAAAAGGCGGTGATTTCTACAGCGCGCGAGCTCAACATTACTGTTCTCGCGTACGGGCCTTTGGGAAAAGGCTACCTTACAGGTCAGATTAAATCTCCGAGTGACATTCCTGGTACGGTTTTTAGTTTTTCTGTGACTGGAATCTGCTCATACTTATCATATACATACTAGAGGGCGATTTTCGCTCTCATTTCACTCGTTTTAAGGAAGAGTACTTCAAGGCAAACTGGGCTCTTGTCGAAAGTTTGGTAGCCGTTGCTGAGAAGAAGGGCGTTACTCCAGCGCAGCTGAGCATCGCTTGGGTAGCGTCGCTTGGACCGCATATGTTACCTCTCCCGGGATCCTCGTACGTGTATAACTTGGTATCATCGAGTTTGGTTTGACTATCAATATGTTTTTTAGGAAAGCCTCTCGCACTTTGGAGAATCTGCAGGCTGGGGATATCGAGCTCACTCCTGAAGAGGTGAAGGCTGTTGACGATATTATTGTTGCGAATCCTGTGGTTGGAGATAGGTACTTTGGTCAATCAGATGAGGAGGCTCACCTTTGGGCATAAACAATGGATGTGTCAATATTCTGTGTTATATTCCTCCATTTCAATGAATATTCAGTTTTCCAAATTGATTCATTGTAAGTAGAGCTCTAAGGCCAGGTACGTTCTTTCTGACTTCGCGTTGGTAACTGTGCAGTATGCTTTCACCCAGCCTGAGCTTATTAATCATCGCGCACAGACAATGGCAGCCTCGCTTCAACTTTGGAGCTCGAGCGTGATATACAAGTATCTTCTAGTCACATAAATTAGGATCCATAGTTATGAAAAGTATATATAATTGTCTGGAATGAAATGCAATCGTTATGAGTTTGCAGTATGTATGCATCATAGCTAGTAGTAGTACCGGTTGCGACCAGTAATCTGAATCGGCGATCTGTACCTGTAACCCTCTCCGACGCCATGACCATTACCTCCCTCACCATATCGATTTCGATATTCACTGCCATAGGACCGTCCCATCACATTCTCAGAGTCAGGATTTTCATCACGGTCACCCTCCGAGTCCCAATAGTTTACGTTTGCGGCTCTACGCCCCCGACCCGGGTGACGTCGCCCACGCGTAGCAGCAGTAGTAGGAGCATCATCAATATTTCCATAGTACTGGGTTTGAATATGATTATCCCGCTGGTTTCTTCCGAAACTAAACGCCTCCTTGCCAAGTGCAGCAATCGCATTCACTGACGGCCTTCCTCTTCCTCCCCCTTCCATACCTCCTCTAGGAAATTTATTTTCTACTTCATCATGGCTACCACCATCACCATTTGTCGATGAGACAGCTGCTGGCGCTATTGGTCTCCGGGTTACGGCGTTCAGAGTTTTATCAGGGCTTTGTCGTCCTCCTGTTGGATCATATTCATAAACGTTCCCATAATTCCACCTCTGCGATTGATCGTTCACCCAGGAGGTGTTCTGGTCCCCGGTAATGGAGGTAAAGTGTATGTTTCCGTTCCCGCTACCGTCTTGACCTCCGAGTTGGATTCCAGGTTCTGATTCGGATTCAGATGCAGTAGAAGTAGTGTGCACGCTACTCGAGCTTATTCCTCCCTCTCCTACTGGCTGAACGGCATTCTGATCTTCGATATCGATGACGTTTGAATTTCCGCTGACTTGGGAATGTTCAGGTGCAGACTGGGTAGGCGCAACTTGAGAATTGGATTGTGGTTTAGCTGGGGATTTGTGAGAACGCGAGGTGGTTTTGGACTTGTGAGTCCGATTCCCATTCGTAAAGGTGGTATTCCCAGTATGGAATGTAGCTCCCGCGAAGGAAAATATAGCTGGGAAAGCTGTGGCTCCGACTTGTAATCCCTCCGCTCGAGCTGATTCTGTTGGTGCCGGAGGTACGGGTACGGGCGAGCTTCCCTCCGAAACGCCTCCTCCGGAAACTGGAACGGGAACTTTAGCGGGGACGGACTCGCCAGTGGGTCTAATTGCTTCCCCAGATGAGGGACGATGATGAGGAGTCAACGACCGCATCTGCACCTGCGCTTGCATGACCTTCTGTTGCATTTCGATCCTCGAAATAACTTGCTGAATCGTGATATGGGATTGTAACTACATCAAACCAAAAAAATCGCAATCAGCTTCAGTAGTTGTGAAATTTGCCTATATACACACTGTAAACAAATCCAATGCGCTCTTCAACCTACCCTGATACTCCGCTACCTTGCCTGTGTCTGCATCGGAGGTTATAAACCTTAAGAGTACATTTCGGGAAGCGGTGCGCTTGGCGAAGAGGGATATCTCGTGCAGGGTGCTATTAGGCCGAGAGCATAGAATTAGTTATGTAAACGCGGTAATGAAGGAGGATGACACCTACGAGCACAGTTGCTTTAAATTGGTCTCAAGATGCGGGTTTAATTGCTCTGCCTCTTCCTCCCCTTCTTCCGTTTCCTTGCCTTCCTCATCTTGCGTCTCTCCGCACTCCCCTGTACCCATATCTGGATCGATAGGATCATCTAATCGTCCAGCAACAAGATTATCATCCTGCTTTCCTTCCTTCTCCCTTGGCTCCGCTTTCAGTTCCGGTTGCGTGAGAGCCTCCCCGGCACCTCTTTGACGCTGTAAAACCTCGTCACACGTCGTCCAAACCGTATATACCAGTGTACAAGCGTCTTCTCCTAGCGATAGCAGAGAAGATTTTGCATTTCGGGTGGTCTGTGAAAGGCAGGAGGAAGGTTGGTTCCAAGAAAAATAGCAGAAATGACAATATAACGCACCTGAACGGCATTCCAAATCCCTAAAGCCAATCCAGCCGCTTCGCTTAGGTATGGTACTGGGGCGAGGGTGGCTACATCGTTGAGAGTGGAGAGGGCTAGGCTAGTGGCTCCTGAGAGAGCGGAGAAGATTTCTTCTTTTCGTTCTTTTCGTAGTACCATTGATTCTTCTCGCTCAGAGTCGCTTGACGCCCTAGCACCACTAGGGATAGAATTCTTGTTTTTCTTCTGAATTCAAGCAAATGTCAGCATGACGCTATAAACACGTTGGAGACGGTAGCGGACTGACCAAGTGGAAAACTTGAAAAAAATGTCTTGATTTCGAGACTTGGGTAGTCGGGACTGTGGCCGGACAGTCACCACTAGCAGTAACGGAATTGCGGGGACGCTTCATTGGCGAGCAGGCGTCGTTCTTCGACGTCTCTGGAAGCAAGAGAAAGTTACTGCGCAAGTCGTGACAAAGGCAAGAGCGTGGTGAAGTTAGATCGTGCAGATATCGCAAATTCGTATATGGTGCGGGCAAGTACTGAACGATCGTTTATAGTCCTGGTAATGCGTATAAAAGGGAAGTGAGATAATCATTTATCTGGTAAAAAGAAGGCTGTATAATGGGGGAGAAGACAGCATCATTCCAAGAATATAAAGACCAGAGGAACAAAGGGATAAAAGAAATGATTCCCGATCGTAACTAGTTTCGACTTACATTACTAGTTTCGAATTTGCCATGTGTCCTCAGGCTCAAGCCATTTTGCACAGCAGCTTTGGAGTGTGGCCGTCTTGATCTTGCCACTGATCGTACTTGCTTGTTCCTGCTGTAGTCTGTAGAGAAGGTATTGAGAGCACTACTGGCAGTAGCAAACCTGGGTGACTTGCTTGCGGACCTGTCTTAGCCTTGAGGTTGGCGGACTCGACTCGCGGTGATGGTAAATAGTAAATAGATCGCGAGCCAACCGAACATCCGATTCCAATTTCCTTGAGCAGCCTACATCCAGGCCTAGCTAGCCTGTAGAGTTCATGCAACCTTGCAAGTATGGCTGTGATTAAAAGAGGGTGGGTTTCGCTGATCGCTAAGGCCAAAACGAAATAGACTCGAGCCAGTCGCCGTAGTGGATGCAGCGACGTTTGATGATGAGTCGATCAAAGTGCCGCAAACGCGAACGTCACCGGGCCGACGCAGCCGGCTGGTTCGAGTCTAAAAAACGAAAAGCACATCACGTTCATTCATCATCTTTCTTTCCTTCCTCTTTAACTAAAGAAAAGCAACTTGGCAATATTCTCTGAATCTTCAAAAAATGGCCAGGTTAGCGAATGTGCTCTTTTCCTGGCCGCGTCTGGAGAAACTCTGATCTCGATGAATAGACGGGTGGGCGTATTTCAACTTTTATCCTTGATCCAAGTTGAGCAAGTGGGTGTAGGCCCCAAGGTTTGAACGGCGATGCGATTGATTATTCGAATTCACCAGATACCTTCATCCACACTGTTTTACCTCCTCGAAATAAACAGCTCTCATGGCCTTCCTCGACGTTTTCAAAGTATTACTGACAGTAAAGCTTGCCGAATCGCGAAAGTGTTAGGAAAGCATTCGATGGGTCTAATACGAGCTGGCGATGTCATTCTAGACGAGATTATGGTTATAGCCGCAAGATCAATTACGAAGTTTACAGAGACTGTACGCTTGAAATACGGGCTCATGTTATCATGAAGACGATGGATATTGACTCTCTATTAGCCCCGACTATTTCTTTTCCATTAGATGGCCGACTCCCTTCCTTCTTCCTATTATCTCCATCCTGTCATCATCGTGCACCGACTCGGATGCGTCTCTTTCAACGATACTATTATACAGTAGATGGCTGAAACACCCTGCTAGGGACAACTTCATGAGGCTTCCTGGCGCGATGGTACCGCCTCCGGTTGTTATTACAGGTTGCACGCTCCTGGGCATGTACAATTAAAGCGCTTTCTTAATAGTTTCATGCTCGGCCCAAATTAATTGCCATTGACGCTTGTGATCTAATATGAAGCGCTACAGAGAGAGTGAAAAAAAATCTGTTCCGCCAGAGACTCTTGGGAATCATTATCTGAACGATTAGCTCACACCAAACGAAAGATGATCTTCCAGTGCACTTGGATAAAAAGACACTAGAGAAGCGAAATAGCCCACCGCGAGGGTCGAACTCGCAGCCTTCAGATTCACAAAGCCAACACCGCCTTAAAAGTCTGACGCTCTATCCGATTGAGCTAGGCGGGCTGTAACAAGTGCGTTTCAATTTTAATAACATACACGAGCACTCAATAATCAACAAAATACTTCATGCTTCTCTCGCATGTTTTTACTTGTAATAAGTACATGATTATTAGATCCGTTCTGTGGTACTCGTACGCTCTACTTACTTACACATCTCTATTCACTCGTTCTCCGTTTCCTGCTCCTGCTCCCCCTCCCGCTGAACAGGTCCGTGCATCGGTGGAGTTTTGGATACCGGTTCGTGATTCTTCAACCTCATCTCCACTAGGAATTCCTTGTCTCTGACCGCCTGCGACCATGATGCCAACATCCCGCGAAGAAGAATAAACGTGTGCATGAGACCCGCTAGGCAGAACAGGCTCGAATAAACATACGTGACTGCGAATAATGGTTAGTGTACTAGTACAGAAAAGAATAAAAGAGCAACGTACAAAGGAATTTCTCGTCAACATAGCGGCCGACCAAGGGAAAGAAAAAGTTGATGGAATAGAAAACGAAGGCTGGAAAGAAGATCATGCCCAGTAGACCGCCCGTCACAGGCGCAAAAACATCTTTTGTAGCGGCTACGGGATCTGGATGCGTCCAACCGTTACGCTTGATCTAAAAAATATTATTCAATCCAGGTGAGGAAATGTCAGGAAGGAATGAACATACTATCTCAATCCCTCTTGAGATGGGGTTATACGGTGGCCTCCGGCTTACTCGCGTTACTATCTTCATATACAGAAGACCTGCCGCCCAACAGTCCAATATCCGTATCCTTGGAACCTCGAGATCTGGGTTGAGATGAAGCTTGAACGGCAGGATCATATACAGTTCAACCACACCACCAACGAGGGGCGGTATGATTATGCCCAAAAATACGGCCATGTAAGACGCTTTGACGAACCATACAAGCCCACGTTTCACTGCAAGCCACCACAAAGAACCTCGAGGACCTTCGGTGCCCCATCTTTGCCTTCTCTTGTCAAGACGATCAACAGCTCTACCAGCGATCCAACATACCCAAAGCATGTAGAATCCAGCGATGATAGAATATCCATCGTGGACTTCTCGTTTGCCCTTGAATACAATGCCAAAGAATGCACGTCCCAAGAGGATCGGCAATGCCAACGATACACCAAGACAGAAAGCCGCAAAGCTCCACATTATGAACACGAAAAAAATCATCCGGTATCGGAATTGCGGTGGTATGTAGACCACGGCAAAGTCCTTATTGACACTTCGGCTTGCTTTGATTGTCTCCGCGTCCTGACGAGCGATGAGGATCCTTGCAGCGTCGTCAAAAGGCTCGCCCGTAGCTGTCACCGATGCAGTAGCGCGCATTTCCCGAGGAATAGCAATGTCATCCGTGTTGGGAACACGTTTAAATGAGCCGTCATAGTCGGAGGCCAAAACAGAGCTACTCTTGCTTGGTCCGTATATAATGCTGGACAGCGACCATGTTTTCGGGGTGTACTCTTCTTCCCCGTGACGTTTTCCGAAGAAATAAGATGTAAGACGAAGCCGTTTGGCAAGTCCTTTCCATACGGCCATCGTAAATCTCTTGAGAGGTTTGCGAGGGCGGAAGTATGTCATCGTATAGGGTAATGCGAGATTAAGGAAGAGCAGGTCAATTGGGACGTTGGATAACGGCTCTCTGTAGGAATTTGTCAAGCCATCAAGGTAACAAGCAAAGAAAAAAAAAGCACATACCTTGTCTTCCACCGGAAAGGAAGTAGCATTTTTCGACCGAGTAGCAGAAGAACCGCAACACTGCAAATCGTGCACATAACGACAAAGGAATACATCACACCGCTGACACAGATCTTGCGCAGCTGTACTAGAGAAGGCCGATCGAGGATATCGCGAATAGGATGTGCGTTCTGATCCTGGGGGTCTTTGATGAACCACATTGCTCCTGGACGCATTATACTTCGACATCCCGAGAGCAATAGTGCGAACGAGTACCTATAAGAGCAATACATAAGCACACCGAAGATCAAGAACGGGGACGACTAACATGAACATTGTTCCCGCTACCCAATGGTAAAATACTGTAGTGAGCGGTGCTTGATAGAGAAACTCCATTCTCGAAGCGTATGAAGCCTTTGGGAAGAGCCATAGCGTGCAGAGATCCAAAACAACTCCACATCCAAGAGGGAACGTGACTAGCTCGATGAAAATAAACGTCGCGACCTTTAAAAAAAAGTAAACGATTATTCCAAGGATTGCATGACAGTAGACCAACCTTCAAAACAAGTAGCTGCTGTCGGACAGCGCTCCTAACAGCTCGACCGGCAGTCTTGACATTGCCTACAGTGAGAAGGTTCAAATAAATGGCCAGGATGCAGGCGAATATGCAGTAGCCAAAGAGAACAGCGAAAATTCTCTCCGCCGCGCCGTCACCAACCGCAAGCTGGATCCAAACTTCCTCGAGTTTCGCATATCCTTGTCGAACCTCTCGTCCAATGGGAGAAAAGTGCGGTTCGGTCAAGTCCAAAAAGGAAGACAATGTTTGCGATATGAAAGAGGGGTCGGAGACAGATTCGGGGATAGATTCAACAATCTGTTCTGCAGGAGCTTCGGCGAAACCCAAAATGCGAAGCACTGGTTCCAAGAATTCTTTAAGCAGAGAGTACTAGCAGAGACCAGTTAGTTTTGTCGAAAAGAACGGAATGAGCATAGCATACCGTAGCAAAACAAGATTCCCGGACCTTGTTCCCCCTGACTTCCCCAAGGGACTCGGAGACAATCCAGAAGGAGAATTGCATGACCCACTGCCCTAGAGTTTTGACTATTTGCAGGTAAGGTGGAATCAAGATGTCTGTGATAAGATAGGCCAACGAGTCCACTGCAGGATCGGTCACGATACGGATAGCTCGAATCGGAAGATGAAGAATGAAGAGCAATCGTCTTGGCTTTAGCTACAAGAACGACTTTGTTAAACGAGCGGACGTAGATAACCCAAGAGAACGTACTAACCAAAAGCAACGCCGCCGTTTTACCAATCGTGTAAGGTATCCAAATTCCCAATCCGATAACAGTATCCATAATGAAGATCATAAGCCCAGCGTTTTGTAAAAGACCTAATACTGGGCCTCTCAAACCAATTGCTGAGGGGAAAAACAATGTTAAAAATAAGCGGGACCAAAGTAGTGACCAACTTGCCTTCCATTGCTCCGTCCATGTCGTCCTCGACTGCAGCCTCCATATCATCTATCATCAAAGCCTCCTCTTCCGCAACATTCCTTGCAGGAGGTTGCGGTTGAGGTTGAGGACCTTGAACTGGAGCCAACTGCAAAGCACCGGGTGCGTCACCGTCAATTGCAACCATTCGTCTGAGTCCAGGCCCTGCTTCAAAATGCTACGGCTTGCATAGGGTCAGGTTGCCCCCGCCGTGGTCTTTGAGGCTCACCAGCCTCACCAGCCTCATCTTCGCCATCATCATCGTCATCGTCGTCTTCTTCCTCTTCTTCATCCTCGTCTTCCGCACCTAACGCGACATCGTCCTCCTGCACCACCATGACTGGGGGTTCCGGTAGTGGCGGTGGAGCAGGTAATGCATTATCTTGCTGGGGAATTCCCTCTTCTTCTTCTGGGAAATACCAGTCCATTTCCATTTCACCGTTTGCTCGAGGCGGCAAATAGACTCGTTGTTCTTCGTCGACATCGTGTCCATCAAGCGTCTCAGAGTCATCGTTTTCTTCTTCCGCAGTATGAGCGCTCGATGTGCTGGTAGAATACCATTCCACGTCCGCTTCACCGTCATCCAAAGGTACCGAGTCTGTGGCAGGCAGCAATGGGATGCTTTCACCATGCTCTGTCTCAGAGTCTTCTTCGTCTTCTTCTTCTTCCGATGTCTGTTCACCCACTGTACTCAGTGTGCTGGTAGAACTAGAGGCGAAATAGTCATTGTTTTCAAAGTCAGCCAACTCTTCCGGTGCTCGGTAGGTGGCAAGGCTGGGAGATTCAAGTGGGGTTTTCACTCTCGGTGAAGAAGGCCCAGACACCGGAGAACCCAAGGTTAAGCCAGAGCCACCAGGGGTAGTAGGTAAAGTAGTTGGAAGAGGAGGTCGACGTATAGGTGTTCCTGGTCTGGAGATACTGGCGTTAGAGGTAAGAGGTGTAAGGGCCGGTGGTTCCGGCGAAGTAGAAAATCTCGGAGTAGGCAATGTAGGAGCAAAAGAGGACATGGAAGAGCTACTTGAGGCCTGATTTCCAAAACTGATTCCATTGGATGTTGTTAAAGAAGATGAGGATTCAGTAGATGTAGAATCTTTGGGAGGAGGGAACACGAAAGAGAAGGGTATGTTTCCATTGGGCCGCTCAAGGGCAACAGTCGGGAAGAACGTCGCCGGAGGAGGCGTAGGCGTAGAAGAGGACGTTTCGGGAGGCGGACTTGGAAGTGCCATCCCAAGATCTTGTCTTCGCCTATTCACGCCCTGCCTCGCTGCCCTCGCCAATTGCAACCGCCTTGCAAAATTTCGTCTCTGCATCCTCTCCTGTTTGATATCTCGGTTATTATCCTCATCGATTTCGACGTCAGCGTCTGCCTCCTTTTCCTTTCCCTTTCCCGTCCTGCGCTTCGCCCTCATACTCGCAAATCGATCCAATTCTTCTTCCAGTGTGTCGCTTCGTACAGGAGCAAACTCGACTGCTGAACGCCCTAGGCTCAGTGCCCTGAGTTCTCTTTCTCTTTCTTCTTCCTCGGTTAACGGCCGCTCCTCTCGTTCAAGAACTCTGAGAGCATCCAACGCCCTGACAGCCTCAATCTGTCGGTGTGCTAAAGCGAGACGTGCGTTGACGTCCATGCGTGGTGCGGCCGGACGTGGAGCAGGTTGCGCTGGAGGAACCTGCGGGCCAGGCGGAACTTGGAGAATTTCCGGTCCAACGTTGTCATCATCATCGAATACGCCGGGCCTTGCATTTTGTGCGATCCATTCACGGAGGAGAAAAATGGCAACGAAGGTAATGACGATGAGAGCTGCTATGATCTGGCCGGTGAAGATATCGGCAGAAAG